TGCGGGGAACTCTGCAAAAAACGCATCTTCGCACGGGCAGCCCGTGCGTTGGCCATTTATTTTCAAAAAGAATTAGTGTGTACTAAAATTTAGCCTTGTATTTTGAAATGTACAGCCAGTCGACTGGGAGTTTTCCAGACAAGCAATGCGAGGATACGGATTGTCATTGAATCGGCGAACTTTCGCTGCGACACAACTTGTCAAGCATTCGTGGAAATCAAGCATAATTCCGATTTTCAACAAACCGGTTTTCGAAAATGGTGTGCCTAATGCTATAATGTCGTCTGATTTCTTTAATTTTTACCCACAATTTTTCACTTTTTCCCCTGTGATTCGTTCGATTGAAAAGGCCATAAGTGTTTTTGGAAACAGCAAAATAAATTTGCCTTATAATTTGCAGCTGTGGTGATGCGCAAGTTGAAGTGTTATCGGAGCAGTCGGAAGCTTTGATCATTTTTGATGCCGTTGAACTGGGACGAGACGGGTCGTTCAGCTTACGCTACATTCAAGGTAAAAAAAATCGAAAAGCATTAACGTCAAAAACTGCATTTAGAATTGAAAAACGTCCGGCCAATTCAAAAATCGAGAAAACTCTTCTTCTGAGCTCTAATTAATCTAAGAAAGTTTGCGAAAATCCGGAAAATTCTTGATATTTCAAAACTAGAAAGGCTGTTGAAGTAGGGCCTTGTATGGACCGCAGTGAAAATTTTTTTTTGCAGATTCCGGTAAGCCGCTGCCGAAACCGCCACCACCTGTTTGGGTACCCGGAAGCGAGAATCGTCTGTTCCGCGGCCTTCAGATTGGTAATGGCGGTGAAATCGAGAAATTCATCCTGAATGCAATCCCGAAAATTCGTGATCCACAACGACCGGCTGAATCAATCGCATCGATTTTAACCGAGTTCACTTTGGGCCAAATTCTTGGATGATTGATAGAAATTGGGCTGGGTTGTGCTTTATTTTCTGGAAGTTTTGTCGGACTCGGTTTTTTTTCACGAAATGGGACAGTGAAAAATTATGAATTTGGCATTTCGATGAAAAAGTAAAAGACCCCGCAGGCCGTTTGGACCCTGTGGGTGAAAGGAAGTAGGAACCAGTAAGGGCTGCACCGGTACTGGATGACTCTGAATAGGCCGTCCATAAGACGGCGTCAGTCCAAAATCCGACGACCATTTTATTAAATTGGAAGGGCGAACAATATAGCTTTCGTTTCATTGCTCGAAAATGTTCATATTTTATAGACATTCCTCCTTGCTTTCTTTAGTCTCCTCGTAGCAGTATTTCTTTCCATTTGCCAATCAGTTTGTTTGCATTTATCACCAATTAGCATAGTTCAGAAAAGCTGAATTCTGAATTGTTGGTGACTGAAGTATCACTTGTTACTTTGTCGAGATTACTAGCATTTTTAATTTACTACAACACAACGCCATAGTACACACACACACACACACACACACACACACACACACACACACACACACACATACACACACAGCAAAGTGTCTGTTTGAAACAAATGGACGAAAAAATAGCCGGATCGGGCATGTTTTGTTAAAAGAATAGTAGGAAGGCTACCGACTTGTCGGCTCTACTGACACGGACAAAAGTGGGTGCAGCGGATGCAAGGAGT